GCTAGCGAATCACTGGGCTTTTTCCAGTTCTCCTCTGGAGGGTACATATACTGAGACCGAGAAATGTCTGGCGTCCTCAGATGATCTTGGCAATGGCACGTGAATTGTCAGCTGAGGTGGACAAGTCAGGTCTGACCCCTGTAAGGGTCTCTCTGCTCTCGTCTCCTGGTGCTCAGCGTCGCCTCGTTCCTCCTGCGTTCCCAGTTGAGGTGGCTTTTTTTTTTTCCTCCTTTTGGTGGGAAAGGCACCCGCAACGCATCAAACGCGGAGCGGTAGCTCAGACCGGTCGCGGGTGACATCAGGCGGCCGAGTCTAGACTCCGCACCGCGGTAAAACAGCAGCAGCTCCACCGACACAAACAAACCGACGAGCCCGGCAGCCTGTGGCGGCCCCGCAGGAGCAGAAGGTGCCGTCTCCCACTCCTGCAGGCCGCAGGCCGATTCCAGGAGCAGGCCTGCTGGCCTTTGTCATGCGAAAGCGTCATTCCTGAGATCCAAGAGCCGGGGATCTTTTGTTGGGCCTCACAGCCCGCAGCGGGAGCTGACGTTCCTGTCAAATGGATGACCTGGGTGTCACACGGTGCGACAGCTTGCCCCGATCCATATGAAAGGCCTGCCTGCCGAGGGGTGAGAGGGGCGGGCCGTCCCTGGGTGCCATGATTGATGGAAACAGTGTAGTACAGGGCGCAGGGGCCGGGCACTTCATGGTAATCGCCCGCTACAGGACACTTTCATGAAGTCCCAGCATGGGCATGCAAGGCGGCCCCCTGGGGCTCTTATAATGTCACGGGCTGCACTGCCTGAGAGGGAGATAATGAATGACTTCCCATGCTTTCTGCCCCATTGTCTCCCAAGGTGCAGTTCCTTTGACATGAAAGCAATATACATGGTGTCTGCCAAGGAGGAGCTTGGGTGGTGGCAGGGCCGCGCTGAGACTTGCAGAACCAGCGCTGTCTGGTGCTCCCCGCTCCGGGGAGGTGGGAGGGCAGATCCGTCTGACTGCCGAGCCCATGGCCCAGTGCAGCTCTACGTGTGGGCAGATTAACGAGAGGAACATCTGGCTGCTTGACAGGTACAAGGGAAAGGAATAAATGCCTGCTTGGTTTAGAACCTTTGATTGGAGCCTTTATATTCCCTTCTTGTGGGGGCTGTAGAATCTGGAGGAGAAGGGGGTTGGACCTGTGGGATCTCATCAAGTAGAAATACTCACTGGGACCCTGAGCCACAGTTAACAACATCATTTGAGCCCCGGTAATTCAGGAGAGAATCATTACACACAGTTCAACACTGTTTCCCTAAAGAAACCCTTGTCTGTTACAATGCAGGGGCGAAATGTGTAGAAGCGAAGTTGCAGAATTTCAGTCTGCCTTCTGCCTGGCTCGTTTTGAAATATCCTGCAACGAGGCTGTGCAACAGGGCAGATGTGTCCGGTCCTGACCCTGCAGGGCTGCACTTCAGGTGGTTTTATATTCCTTGATTTTTTTATATTCTGATACCTTAAAAACGAGGCATAGCAGTTAAAATGGCTGCAATGAAGCCACACATTAAGGAGTAAACTGGACTGAAGACAGGACACCCCATGCTGGCAGGGAAGACCCCCATGTCTGACGAATTGGTTTATTAACTCTTTCTTTTATTTAAATAGGTACAAGGCTATAAAGGGCAGAATGGGGTTTGATGGTTGGCCTGTTACCTTACAGCAGAAGGCCCTGGGTCTAACACCGGTCTGGGGGGTTTTCTGTGTGGAGTTTGCACGTTCTCTTCAGGACGACACGGATCTTTGCCAGGTGCTCCAGTTTAGTCCCACCAAAGAGAGGTGAAGACGGGCTGGATGAGGTGCTCCCTCGAAATTGCGTGTGAATGGGTATTCCCTGCAATGGTCCAGTCTCCCAGTGTACCCCAGGGGGCAGACCTGCCTGGTTGCTACATTTTAACACTGAAAACTAAATACAAGTGACAGAGGGGGAGAGGTCACACCATTGATTACTCTACTGCCCATTAAAGAGATCAAAGGTTTTAAATGGTAATTTGGGTGGGTGCCCACAAAGGATTAGAGCAATAAAGCAGACCAGCCCTCTTCTTGTCACACGTCAGTGTTAGGAGGCTGAGTTTCCTCAGGGATATGTTCTTAATTAACCTCAGCAGTTTGCATAACTGCCTAGAGCCAAGTTACTCCTCAACTTGATACACTGAATTGAACCCCAGTGACTCACATAAACCCCCCTCTAAATTACTGCTAGAGCTGATCAAGCATGGACTGAAGCCAGGATAATAACTTAATAATAGAAACTCCTCATTTATGAATTGCTCACATGCAGTAAATGCAAGCATGGGGTAATTGTCTTGTGCTGCAGACCCAAGCACTCTTATGCCCTGAAGACATAATCTTTAGGTTTATGGTGAAAAGGTTTTAGCTGAACCAGTCGACTGTATTGGATATCGTCAATGTATGACCACAGTAAGGTTTCACTGATTTTGTTTGGAAGGAAATTATTAAGACATTAAGATATCCTCGACAAGTAAACACACCTTTTACATGGCTCAACCAAGAAACAGGAGTTGCGACTGAATTCAGTTTTGAAAGTCTGTGTACTTTCAAGAGATTTTGTGTAAGTCTCTGACATGTGTATACTTACATTTGCATCATCCAGGTGGGGCCTACAAATTGCTGTTGGTGGATGGGAGTCCTTATTACCTGTAACGTGCTTTCAGTGGAGTGCATGAATATATACTATTGACATGTAAAGAATTATTAGTATTTGTATTAATATTATTATTAGAGAGATACATTCTTTCTGATTGGATGTTTCTGTATACTGCTGCCTAATGATAAATACTAATCATAAAAATGATTGAAGCTATCGATTATTCTCAAACTGGAATAACAGACTGATTATGAAGGAATAAAATGAAACGGACAGGTGGTGAACTGGGAACAGATGAATTCAGAGAGAATGAAGGTTGAACTTTAAAAACTTTTACAGGATCGACCTTGACCACGAAATACTCATGTCTAGGGAAATGTAGGCCTAAATCTAAAGTAGGAATTAGGACAATACATCGGGAGGAAGAGAGTTCTGTGCTGACTGTAACCCAGTCCAAGGGGTAAAGTGCACTGAGATACAGTTGATAAAATGCCAAGAGAGAGACAGAAAAAAAATATTGCAACAGACGCAGAAACGACAACATTGATGAAAATGATGATAACAGGTAAAGGTTAATTCCATGCCGAAAAGTCAAGATTATAAAGTATGTTTCGGCTGTGGAGCTGCCTTCGGGCGTGAGGGAGAGATTTCACACATCCAAAATGGATCCACAGCCGAAACGTTGGTGTCTCTCTTCTTTTCCGTTCAACACGGACTGCACCTTTACCTGTTCCTCTGCTCCCTACCCGAACGTCGAGAACGACAGGGAGCAGTCCGCGGACAGTAAACCGCAGCGCAGCTCTGCCGACGCGCACAGGAAGGAGCGGCCCTTCATCACGACAATGTGGGAAAAGTGATAAAAAAAGGCCAACAGGAAGACTTGGACTTTAAATCTCTGCCCTGTCTTTACAATGCGCACGTGCAGCCTCATTAAAATGCCGCGTTCAGGTTGAGTCAATATGCCAAAGAAGGATCACAGAAGACCTGAATTAACCATCCAACTCAATTAGTACTACTAACACACCCCAGGAAGGCTCCACAGCCGAAACGTGGTGTCTCTTTTCTTTCCCTGTTCCTTGGCAGTGTACGGATGCTGACGCAGCTCCCGACTGGAATTCAATGATCAACATGCACACAATTGCTATGCCAGCGATGCGTACAAAATGTTTATTCCTGTTGCAAACAATTGCAAATAAGAAAAACTGAAATCATTCTTGTGCGAAAAACAAGTCTGACATCACATTAATAATTTATTACGTTTATTTAAAATGCTGCAACATTACACACCTGGAATTCAGCCCTTTGTTAAGAAGGCTCGAACTACAAAATTATTCCAGTAACTAAGAGAATAATTCAAACACATTGGAAGAACTATTTACAAATACAAAACGGCGTAACTATTATTCCCTATGGACGTCTGTATCACAGCGCCTTTTGAGGCCGAAAGCCATCTTGTCACACGACATATCAAACGTCCCAAGTCTCAGATAAATCATTTTTCATTTTTAAATCTTTTATATCGTTCAGGATCCTTCATCCTATTCAGATTAACATCTCTGAAAAATTGTCCCCCACAAAATGTCCATAGCAAATACGTGAATGTTATAAATCATACATTTAATGTACATTATCATTATTATTATTATTATTAAATACGTCGTATTCATAAGCGATAAATATACAGAAGCGTCCACGGTTTTTTATCGTTTGCGGCCTCGGGTCTTTCTCCTGGGCCGCACGCCGAGCTGTCCGTGAGCCGCGTCTCTCCTGGCGCACATGTACTTGCTGATCACCTGCGTGCACTGCTCGCACCGCACGGTGCAGCACCAGTGGAACTTGCAGTTGCAGCTGCTGACGATCTCCGTCCGCTTCTCCTCCACCCTCAGCCCGCACTCGAAGCACAGCCGCCTGCAGCTGCGCTTCTCCCACTGCGAGAGGTTCTTGCCGCTCTGCAGGCACTCCCTGCCCTCCGTGCCGTGCAGCCCGAGGCTGGAGTTCCTCACGCAGTAATCCGGGGAGTCTTCCAGGTAGATGAGCTCCGTCCGGGCGACGGTGCTGAAGGCGTCCGCGATCACCCGCCTGGTTTCGGCGCTGTTCCCGGCGCGCATTCGCCTCTTGTCCAGCTCCAGCTTCTGAGCCTGGTCGTGCTTGACTTTCAGGTAGTTGCCGACGTCTCGGAAGTCGGACAGCTGCAGCCAGCAGGTCTGGACGGTGCAGCTCTCCGACATGCCGTGACACCTGCAGATGCGTTTCATGGTCGCTCTGACGGCCTGTCCCGGGCAAAGAACAACAGTTAGTAAAGGCTCCAGCTCCCTGAATTAGACGAAGCGGTTAGAAAATGGCGGATAGATATCGAGCCCTTTTCACCGCTGCAGACACCATCCCAATGACTTTCTTAACTGTTCACAGTAAATCCCGGTTTGAGAGAAGCAGCGCTGGAAGGGACTTTGTGCCCTGTACACGGACTAAAGCAGAAATCCCTGTTCCTTGAGCTTCTGCGGAGGACTGGACAACAAACAAGTGCCGCAGGGCTTGGAGAGACTCTTTCAAAGCGCACATACCACTTGCACTGATTGATAATGGACTATTACCTGCTTTAGAAAGTGCTTATTCGGTGTGAGTTTGACAGAGTGTGCACTAATAGTGAAATGTTTTTTTTTTTGGTTGTAAAAGAAAGTTGAGTTTTGATAGAAAAAGAAAGTCCCGCGGGTTGAGAGACGCTCGGGACTCACCAGCCTGCCGGCCTGGTTGTTGTGCAGGTTCACGGCGGCCCTGGAGTCCTGCCCGGTCTCCAGCGCGTCCACGAACTGCTTGGAAATCCGCTCCCCGAACTCCGCGTTATCGCTGCATCCTCCCCAGACCCATCCTCTTCCTCCTGAAAAAACACAGACCTCGGTCAGCCTCCCGTTATCCACACACGTTGGCGTTTCTGGGGGCTTCCAACGAATTTCATTCTATTTCTCAACACGTCTCAAAGGGTCAAAATAAACAAGGAAGCTATTTTTGTCAACGAGCTTTGGTTTACAAAAGCTCGTTCGTTTATAACATCGTTATAGTGACATACTATGTAACATACATAAAATATTGTAGGAGAATAAAACCAGGTTTTATAAAAACCTTGTGGCGATATTCTCTCAAATGTTATTCTTGGATTGGATAATAGTACACGCTCACCAATAAGGCATAAAATAGCTCAGGAGAGAAGACGAAAGAGCGCAATTCAGTGAGCACCTGGCATCACATTAAAATGGGTTTTCAAGATGTGTTATTTAATAAATTAAGACTTGCTATACGAAACCGTTCTTACCCATTTGTCCGTTCATTGAATCGTCACAGCCGCAATTGTCTAAATCGCCCATGCTGCAGTTCTTGGTCAGGGTGTACATGACACCAGCGGAGCTGATGGCGTGGATGAAGGACGTTTCTCTCGAAGCTTGGAATAAAACGGAAACGACAGTCAATGATCACCTTTCTCTCTCTCACACACACACTTGCATATACTGTATATTATTTCACACGACCAAATCGAAACGTGTTAATCAGCCGATACTAGACAAAGCACACGCCAATTCCAGCTGCATTAGAAGTTCACGGGGGAATGGGAACGTACCGCTTCTCAGTCCTTTCTGCGTGGACAGCTGGAGCGCGCTCTCGGGACAGTTCCACCGATCCCACGCGAACTGGTACTTGCACTCCTCAATGCCGCTCTGGGCGCCGGCCTGCACGCTGCTGGCGTAAGTGAGGTGAGCCTGCCGGAAGATGAGTAAAAAAGCCGTGTCTTACTGTGCGCTTTCAGATACACCTCTCCCGATACATCATTATGTTGAATACCTTCATTCCAAACTGATTTCCCATTATAGAGAGGCATTTTTTTTCCTCTAATATGGATAGTGTTGTGTTCCACAAGTGGTGTGGTCGCTATGACAAATTTGCGAAGCAGAAATAATAATAATAATAATAAGATAAGCCATATACAATTTCTTGTATTAGGAACTCATCTTTTCGCATACCCAAGCTTCCTCTCTATTAGACACACAGACAGGGAGAGAAACTGGGGGTCAGAGCGCAGGGTCAGCCATTTATACAGCGCCCCTGGAGCAGTTGGGGTTAAGGGCCTTGGTTAGGGGCCCAACGGAGTCAGATTCCTCTGCTGGCCGCAGGATAGGAACCGGCAACCTTCCAGCCACAGGCGCAGGTCCTGAACCACAGAGCCACCACACCGCCCTTTTATTATATTAATATTAATAATAATAAAAATAATAATCATCATCCTCTTACCTTCGGTCCCGTCATAAGAAAGTTATTCACAGACCTATAAAGAAAAAGACATAAGAAGATAATATTAGAGAACTGAACTGAGCATTTATAAGACCACTTTAGAGGAAAGGTGAGCGATCACCGCACACGAACACCCACCATGCTCTAGCGAACAGTATGCTGCAGTAAGTGAAGAACGCGATGGAGCTGATGAGCCTGTAAGTTCGCATTGCGGAGGCTGGTTCTGCGGTCCGCCGTCCTGCCTCTGCCTGGCACGAGTGGAGTGAGCCGCAGTCGGACCCGCTGGTCAATTTATATGATATTTTGAAGGGCCGGGGTCACACATGAAGACCATTGGGCGGGAGGGCGGTGAGCGAAATCAGGGAAACGCCTAAAGCGCACATCAAAGGGCCCTGGCAGCACCTCACAGCTAGCGCTGCACTTGCGACAATCGGCACATTTCATTCAACAACAGCTCGGTCTAATTTCATTAACCCCTACCGTTCGAATATGCTCTCCAGGGCACGGACGGAGTACGTTCATGCGAGCGGGATTTGTTGTTTTTTTTAAATTATTTTCTTAAAATAACAGTGGAAGAGTTTGGACTCCAAGCCCGAAAACACAAGATTTAGCACCCTGTTGCGCTTTGCGGTCAACTCGAAGTGATATTTCCTTTCACGCGTTCTGAGTTTATTTTTAATTACTCCTAAATCCTTATTGCAGAATGCATAACATTAAAGAAAGGCCAAACAAGATTCATTTCGGAACTAAAAAGAACGTGAATTCATCGAGGTAGGGCATTTTTGAGAAAAAACGATTTGCGGAATACTACTAAAAACTTCAATAAAGCGTTTAACAATAGCTTAAAATAATTTATTTCGTTGATGCCGAGTGTTCTAGTTAAACTTCATCGAAATTCAGAAAAACATAATTCTGGCATGTTAAAAACTTGTCGTGGCGGGTATTTATCTCATATTGAGATGCGACTGACTGAGATGGACCTGAACAGAAGAAAATTGTTTGACACTGAATCTAAAAGCCAGAAAAATATTACACACTTAGAAATTTGCACTATGTGCAAGTATATATTTCTCCTGTTAGAGAAATTCCTGCTGCACGTTGCTTTGAGCTTAGCAAGTTCCGCACACTGAAGAAAGTTTCTCTCCAACCTCAAAGCACTTATTCGGTTCCGACATCATCATATGGATGTGTGCAATATTCATAGTAAATATATCATTGCAAACCGACTTTAAATCATCATATTGAAGAAAATAATGAGCATGTGGCTTGGAGCATTAAGAAACTAACTCGCAATAGCGTATTGTAATATATACCAATTTCTTTGGAAACGTGTGCCAGTATTTTATTTTTATTTTGTAACATGAAACACAACACGCAACATATAGTTTAAATATTTAATATGGAATTTACATTACAAAAAACAAACCGAGTCAAATATTAAAGTCTTTCTCTTCTGGGCTAATAATAAACTCATATCTTTAACAACTCACAAAGCGACTCAAGGATTACATAACATCCTTAATAACACGCAGGTGTTTGCGACAGTGTAGCTACCAAGAAGATATAATTTCAACCAATAACGTGTTAAAGTAAGCGTGTAAGAAGACAAATATTTGTGTGCAAATAGAAAAGGCTAACACGATGCGCAATATCACATTGCAATCGCTAAAGTGCGTTGAAAGAAATACTATTTCTGATTCAAAAAAGTGACCACTGTGTTGAAACCCGTCCACAATAAATATCCACTTTCACAGAAAGGGGTAAAATGTCCCGTTAACAATGTCACCCACTCTTTAAATCGCGAACTAGCAGCTTGCTGTCGCGTCCTTACAGTGTAAAAAAAAAAACATTTTAAAAAATAATACAAAGCACAGAGTGTATGCTTACACGGGAACTTAAGTCTCATTTAACGCTCATGTTCACGGTTTCTGCGTTTGGCGCTGTGGAAAGGCCTGCGCGTTTTGTCCTTCTTAGCACAGAAATACTTGGCGACCACCTGCGTGCACTGCTCGCACCGCACGGTGCAGCACCAGTGGAACTTGCAGTTGCAGCTGCTGACGATCTCCGTCCGCTTCTCCTCCACCCTCA